CATCTCCCCCTATGAACCATCATGGAGATTAAGATCCTCCAGGGATGCCCTGCTCTCTGTCCTGCCATTGTCACAGGCGCGATTGGTGGGGACGAGAGACAGGACCTTCTTGGTGATTGCCCTCCGGCTATGGAACTCCCTTCCTGGTGAGATCAGGTCGGCCCCCTCCCTCCTGTCCTTTAGAAGGATGGTAAAAATTTGGCTGTGGGACCAAGCTTTCGGGACAGGGCAATAAAGCAGCAATAGGAAAGATTACCAGGCAAATTAGATTAGACACAGGTGACCAAGACGGTTTTAAATGGTGCATTTTAATATTGAGATAAATGGACTGTGGTCTTTGTTCCTCAGTAGCATTTACATACCAGCCAATTAATGTAACAATTTCAGTCCATCCCTGCATTATGCCAGAAGGAAATAACAGTCTACCCACCTTCTCACATTTTCACACTGGGCAAAATTAACTGGAACAGCACCAGAATAATGGAGAGCAGCTGATAGCCCTTGAAATCCGTGCTCATCCTCAGGCCCCTTCTACACTGCCATATAAAATCCAGATTATCTGCTTTGAGCTGGATTATATGGCAGTCTAGTCTAATAATTATGGGGAAAACCGTGTGATGTTGAGTCAGGGTTTGCTTTGGGGTTGGAAAGGACTTGCACACAATGGCAGCAACAAAAGACAAAGCACCATCCAACATTTGTGTAGTTTGGGGGGCGGTATTGTGTCAGGAGCAACTGAAGAAATTGCAAGTCACTCCTGGTGTGAGATAATTGGCCATCTGCAAAGATGTTGCCCAGAGTACTCCTGGATATGTTACCATCCTGTGGGAGGCTTCTCTCATGTCCCCACATGAGAAGCTGGAGCAGACAGATGGGAGCTCACCCCACTCCCTGGATTCGAACCACCGACCTTTCGATCAGCAGTCCTGCTGGTACAAGGGTTTAACCCACTGTGCCACTGGGTGCCCTTAGTAGTAATCTGTAGGCACAAGGACCCAGGAAGGTCACTTGCTGAGATGTTGATGGGTTGTTGTAGGTTTTTTCGGGCTATATGGCCATGGTCTAGAGGCATTTCTTCTGACGTTTCGCCTGCATCTATGGCAAGCATCCTCAGAGGTAGTGAGGTCTGTTGGAAATAGGAAAAAGGGCTTATATATCTGTGGAATGACCAGGGTGAGACAAAGGACTCTTGTCTGCTGGAGCTAGGTGTGAATGTTTCAACTGACCACCTTGATTGGCATATAATGGCCTGACAGTGCCTGGAGCAAACTTTTGTTAAGAGGTGATTAGATGTCCTTGTTTTTTGTTTTCTCTCTGTTGTTGTGCTGTTGTAATTTTAGAGTTTTTTTAATACTGGTAGCCAGATTTTGTTCAATTTCATGGTTTCCTCCTTTCTGTTCTGTCCACATGCTTGTGTATTTCAGTGGCTTCTTTGTGTAGCCTGACATGGTGGTTGTGAGAGTGGTCCAGCATTTCTGTGTTCTCAAATAAAATGCTGTGTCCAGGTTGGTTCATCAGGTGCTCTGCTATGGCTGATTTCTCTGGTTGGAGTAGTCTGCAGTGCCTTTCATGTTCCGTGATTCATATCTGGGCAATGCTGCTGCGTTTGGTGGTCCCTATGTAGACTTGTCCACAGCTGCATGGTACACGGTAGACTCCTGCAGAGGTGAGAGGATCTCTCTTGTCCTTTGCTGAATGTAGCATTTGTTGGATTTTCTTGGTGGATCTGTAGATAGTTTGTATGTTGTGTTTCCTCATCAGCTTCCCTGTGTGGTCAGTGGTTCCCTTGATGTATGGCAGGAACACTTTTCCTCTGGGTGGATCTTCGTCTTTATTCTCATGGCTTGTTCTCAGTCTTGCAGCTCTTCTGATGTCTGAGGTGGAGTCTCCATTGGCCTGTATTGCCCAGTTGAGGTGGTTCATCTTGAAGGAGGTGGGGTTCACAGATTCTTTTTGCACGGTCTGCCAAGGCTTTAATGGTGCTTCTTTTTTGACTTGGGTGATGGTTGGAGTTTTTATGTAGATATCTATCTGTGTGTGGAACCACTGACCGCATTGGGAAGCTGATGAGGAAACACAACATACAAACCACCTACAGACCCACCAAGAAAATCCAACAAATGCTACGTTCAGCAAAGGACAAAAGGGATCCTCTCACTTCTGCAGGAGTCTACATAGGGACCACCAAACACATCTTTGCCCAAACACGAATCAAGGACCATGAAAGGCACTGCAGACTCCTTCAACCAGAGAAATCAGCCATAGCAGAGCACCTGATGAACCAACCTGGAAACAGTATATTATTTGAGAACACAGAAATGCTGGACCACTCTCACAACCACCATGTCAGGCTACACAGAGAAGCCACTGAAATACACAAGCATGTGGACAATTTCAACAGAAAGGAGGAAACCATGAAAATGAACAAAATCTGGCTACCAGTATTAAAAAAAACTTTGAAACTGCAAGGCCATTCAATGCTAATCAAGGTGGCCAATTGCAGCATTCACATCTGCCTCAAGTAGACTTCACACCTGCCTCAAGTTCTTTCTCCCACCCTGGACATTATTCCACAGATATATAAACACCTCCCAACAAGATTTGCCCAGGCAGGAATAAGCCAGACTTCAAAGCTTCAGTGCTAATCAAGATGGCCAATTCACACTAGCCTCCAGCAGACAAGAGTTCTTTCTCCCACCCTGGACAAGGATTCCCCCAGGCAGCAACCAGCCAGGCTTTGAAGCTGCAAGGCCATTCAGTGCTACTCATGGTAGCTACTTGCCTCAAATAGACAAAGAGTTTTTTCTCCCACCCTGGACATTATTCCACAGATATATAAACACCTCCCAACAAAGGATTCCCCCAGGCAGGAATAAGCTAGGTTTTGAAGCTGCAAGGCCATTCAGTGCTAGTCAAGGTGGCTACTTGCCTCAAGTAGAGAAAGAGTTTTTTTCTCCCACCCTGGACATTATTCCAAAGATATATAAACACCTCCCAACAAAGGATTCCTCCTTCTCCTCCTGAGGCTGTCAGGGGTGATTTGAATGCAATATTCCTGCTTCTTGGAAGGGGGTTGGACTGGATGGCCCATGAGGTCTCTTTGATTCTATGATTCCCCCAGGCAGGAAGCAGCCAGGCTTAGAAGCTGCAAGGCCACTCAGTGCTGGTCAAGGTGGCCAATTGCAGCATTCACACTTGCCTCAAGTAGAGAAAGAGTTTTTTCTCCCACACTGGACATTATTCCACAGATATATAAACACCTCCCAACAAAGGATTCCCCCCAGGCAGGAATCAGCTAGGCTTCGAAGCTGCAAGGCCATTCAGTGCTAGTCAAGGTGGCTACTTGCCTCAAGTAGAGAAAGAGTTTTTTTCTCCCACCCTGGACATTATTCCACAGATATATAAACACCTCCCAACAAAGGATTCCTCCTCCTCCTACTGAGGCTGTCAGGGGTGATTTGAATGCAATATTCCTGCTTCTTGGAAGGAGGTTGGACTGGATGGCCCATGAGGTCTCTTCCCCCAGGGAGCAACCAGCCAGTCTTCGAAGCTGCAAGGCCACTCAGTGCTGGTCAAGGTGGCCAATTGCAGCATTCACACTTGCCTCAAGTAGACAAAGAGTTCCTTTCTCCCACCCTGGACATTATTCCACAGATATATAAACACCTCCCAACAAAGGATTCCCCCAGGCAGCAACCAGCCAGGCTTCAAAGCTGCAAGGCCACTCAGTGCTAATCAAGGTGGCCAATTAAAACATTCACACTTGTCTCCAGCAGGAAAGAGCTCTTTTCCCCAGCCTGGACATTATTCCACAGATATATAAACACCTCCCAACAAAGGATTCCCCCAGGCAGTAACCTGCCAGGCTTCAAAGCTGCAAGGCCATTCAGTGCTAGTCAAGGTGGCCAGTTACAACATTCACACCTCCGGCAGGCAAGAGCTCTTTCTCCCACCCTGGACATGTTTCCACAAATATATAAACACCTCCCAACAAAGGATTCCTCCAGGCAGGAATCAGTTAGTCTTTGAAGCTGCAAGGCCATTCAGTGCTAGTCATGGTGGCTACTTGCCTCAAGTAGAGAAAGAGCTTTTTTTTCTCCCACCCTGGACATTATTCCAAAGATATATAAACACCTCCCAACAAAGGATTCCTCCTTCTCCTCCTGAGGCTGTCAGGGGTGATTTGAATGCAATATTCCTGCTTCTTGGAAAGGGGTTGGACTGGATGGCCCATGAGGTCTCTTCCAACTCTTTGATTCTATGATTCTAGAAAACAACAAGGCAGGAAGCTGCAAGGCCATTCAATGCTAATCAAGGTGGCCAATTGCACATTCACACTTGCCTCAAGTAGACAAAGAGGTTTTTTTCTCCCACCCTGGACATTATTCCACAGGTATATAAACACCTCCCAACAAAGGGTTCCCCCAGGCAGTAATCATCTAGACTTTGAGGCTGCAAGGCCATTCAGTGCTAGTCATGGTGGCTACTTGCCTCAAGTAGACAAAGAATTTTTTCTCCCACCCTGGACATTATTCTACAGATATATAAACACCTCCCAACAAAGGATTCCTCCTTCTCCTCCTGAGGTTGGATGGCCATCTGTCAGGGGTGATTTGAATGCAATATTCCTGCTTCTTGGCAGGGGGTTGGACTGGATGGCGCATGAGGTCTCTTCCAACTCTTTGATTCTATGATTCTATGATTTCCCTAGGCAGCAACCAGCCAGCCTTCGAAGCTGCAAGGCCACTCAGTGCTGGTCAAGGTGGCCAATTGCAACATTCACACTTGCCTCCAGCAGGCAAGAGTTCTTTCTCCCACCCAGGACATTTTCCCACAGATGTATAAACCCCACTTGCCTCGTTTCCAACAGACTTCCCAACCTCTGAGGATGCCTGCCATAGATGTGGGGGGAAAGGACCCAGAAGGGGGCTGAGGCTGTTAGGAATGGTGGGAGTTGGAGTCCAAAGCACCTGGAGGCAGGCTGGATCCAAGGCACTTACCCCGCAGCCCAGGCGCGCCTTCTCCAACCCGAGGGAAGAGACTCCGAGCAGGGCAGCGGCGCAGCAGCAGCAGCCTCCGGGGCGAGGTCCCGCTGTTGACTCCCGTTTCCATAGAGACCCCGGGGACACAGCGGAGGGGGGGAGGGATGGGGAGAAGCGAGAAGAGCCGGTGGGCGGGGCAGGCGCCGCCCTTCCCTTCCCTCCTCCCCCTCCCTCCGCTGCGGCAAAGCCCTGGGCGCTGAGCCAAAGGGACCATTAGCAACATGACAGTGATGGATCTCTCCTGGCGGGCATCTCAATGGGGCTGGTGCTCTTAGGCACAGTGTCATGGAAGGACAACTGCTCTCGCTTTTGGTTAATGGGGATAATGGGAACCCAACAGCACAACAATAATGGCCATCATATCCATTCTTAACCTAAATCCAAACTCCTCTCTCTGGACTCAGTAGAACCAAAGGCAGCCTTCCAGATGTTCCTGTGTCCCAATTCCCATCAGCTCTAGTCCTGATGTCTGATGCTGCTCACCAATGGCTCCTCTGCATCCTGGAAAGAAGTGATTAGCAAAGTGCCATAAAGAGGGTTCAATCCTTACTTACTTACTTACTTAGGCGATCCCTCGTTGGACGAGTAAGATGGTCTTCCATTATGGATTTCCTTGTGGGTCCGTAGGTGACTGTGGAGCCCTATTCTTGCTCTGCATCTTCTTCCGCAGTGAGGGCATTGGTTTCCAGGTGGAAGGCGGTCCCGGTCGGGGTTGGCTTGACGCGCCTTCCTCCTGGCACGTTTCTCTCTTTCACCCTCCACTCGTGCCTCCTCAAATTTTGCAGCACTGCTGGTCACAGCTGTCCTCCAGCTGGAGCGCTCAAGGGCCAGGGCTTCCCAGTTCTCAGTGTCTATGCCAGAGTTTTTAAGGTTGGCTTTGAGCCCATCTTTAAATCTCTTTTCCTGTCCACCAACATTCCGTTTTCCGTTCTTAAGTTCGGAGTAGAGCAACTGCTTTGGGAGACGGTGGTCGGGCATCCGGACAACGTGGCCGGTCCAGCGGAGTTGATGTTGGAGGACCATCGCTTCAATGCTGGTGGTCTTTGCTTCTTCCAGCACGCTGACGTTTGTCCGCCTGTCTTCCCAAGAGATTTGCAGAATTTTCCGGAGGCAGTGCTGATGGAATCGTTCCAGGAGTTGCATGTGACGTCTGTAGACAGTCCACGTTTCGCAGGCATACAGCAGGGTTGGGAGGACAATAGCTTTATAAACAAGCACCTTGGTATCCCTACGGATGTCCCGGTCCTCAAACACTCTCTGCTTCATTCGGGAAAATGCTGCACTTGCAGAGCTCAGGCGGTGTTGTATTTCAGCCTCAATGTTAACTTTGGTGGAGAGGGTGGCTGCCAAGGGAGCAGAAATGGTCCACATTTTCTAATGTTACACCATTAAGCTGTATCTGGCATTGGAGGGGTTGGCTGGTGACTGCTGGGAAAGCACCTTGAGTTTTTTTCAATGATTCCATGACAGGCCGAGCTTCTCGTATGCTTCTGCGAAGGTGTTTAGAGTGGCTTGTAGATCTTCTTCTGAATGCGCACAGACCACGTTGTCATCAGCATACCTGAGTTCTATAACAGATGTTGTTGTAACCTTGGTTTTGGCTTTCAGTCTGCTGAGGTTGAATAGCTTGCCATCTGTCCGATAGATGATTTCCACTCCGGTGGGAAGCTTCCCATCAACAAGGTGAAGTATCATAGCGATGAAGATGGAGAATAGAGTTGGGGCAATAACACGTCCCTGTTTGACACCGGATTCCACTTTAAATGGGTCACTTTGGGAGCCACTGCTGTCCAGAACCATTGCCATCATGTCATCATGGAGGGTTCAATCCATGCAAATATGAGTAGATCAATAGGTACCACTCTGGCGGGAAGGTAACGGCGCTCCATGCAGTCGTGCCGGCCACATGACCTTGGAGGTGTCTATGGACAATGGCAGCTCCTTGGCTTAGAAATGGAGATGAGCACCAACCCCCAGAGTCGGACACGACTGGACTTAATGTCAGGGGAAAACCTTTGCCTTTACCTAGATCAATAATAAAGGTGTTGGGGGAATCCTTTGTTGGGAGGTGTTTAACTTCTACATGGAACACTTTGAAAAACAAGCCTTGGAGACAGCAACCAAAAAGCCCACGATATGGTTCAGATATGCGGATGACACCTTCACCATTTGGAGCCATGGAGAAGAAGAACTCAAGAGGTTCCTGGACCATCTAACAGCATCCACCCAAACATCCAATTCACCATGAAAAAAGAAAATGACGGAAAACTGCCATTTCTAGATGTCCTAGTCATCCGCAAACCAGATCAACAATTGGGTCACACAGTTTACAGAAAACCTACACACACAGATAGATATCTACATAAAAACTCCAACCATCACCCAAGTCAAAAAAGAAGCACCATTAAAGCCTTGGCAGACCGTGCAAAAAGAATCTGTGAACTCCACCTCCTCCAAGATGAACTGAACCACCTAAACTGGGCTCTCCAGGCCAATGGATACTCCACCTCAGACATCAGAAGAGCTGCAAGACCAAGAACAAGCCACGAGAGTAAAGACAAAGATCCACCCAGAGGAAAAGTGTTCTTGCCATACATCAAGGGAACCACTGACCGCATAGGGAAACTGATGAGGAAACACAACATACAAACTATCTACAGACCCACCAAGAAAATCCAACAAATGCTCCGTTCAGCAAAGGACAAGAGGGATCCTCTCACCTCTGCAGGAGTCTACCGTATACCATGCAGCTGTGGACATGTCTACATAGGGACCACCAAACGCAGCAATGCCCAAACACATGAATCAAGGAACATGAAAGGCACTGCAGACTACTCAACCAGAGGATGCTTGCCATAGATGCAGGCGAAACGTCAGGAGAAATGCCTCTAGAACATGGCTCTATAGCCCGAAAAAACCCACAAGAACCTAGTGATTCCAGCCATGAAAGCCTTTGGCAATACATCATATCCATTATTAACCTAAATCCAAACTCCTCTCTCTGGACTCAGCGGTGGTCCGTCCACTTCTTAAAAAGGTTTCCCTTGACTCCACGGTGGTGAACAACTTCAGGCCGATCTCCAACCTCCCTTTTCTGGCCAAGGTGCTGGAGCGGGTGGTTGCCTCCCAGCTCCAGGGTTTTCTAGATGACATCAACTACCTAGATCAGTCACAGTCTGGTTTCAGGCCTGGTCACGGCACCGAGACAGCCTTGGTCGCCTTGGTGGATGACCTCTGTAGAGAGCTGGACAGGGGGAGTGTGACTCTGCTGGTTCTCTTGGACATCTCAGCGGCTTTCGATACCATCGATCATGGTATCCTTCTGGGGCGTCTCTCTGGGATGGGTCTTGGAGGCATGGTTCTGTCGTTGCTTCGGTCCTTCCTGGAGGGTCGATCCCAGATGGTGAAGCTGGGAGACTCCTGCTCAGACCCCTGGCCATTGACCTGTGGGGTCCCGCAAGGCTCTATTCTGTCTCCCATGCTTTTTAACATCTACATGAAACCGCTGGGAGAGGTCATCCAGAGTTTTGGAGTTAGGTGCCATCTCTACGCAGATGACACACAACTCTACTACTCATTTCCACCTAATTCCAAGGAGGCCCCTCGAGTACTGGACGAGTGCCTGGCCGCTGTGGCTGTCTGGATGAGGAAGAACAAGCTGAAGATCCCGACAAGACAGAGGTCCTTCTGGTCAATCGTATACCGGATCGGGGTATAGGGTGGCAACCTGTGCTGGACGGGGTTACACTCCCCCTGAAGTCACAGGTCCGCAGTTTGGGAGTCCTCCTGGATTCATCGCTTACGCTTGAGGCTCAGGCGTCGGCGGTGTCCGGGAGGGCTTTTGCACAACTGAGACTTGTGCGTCAACTGCGTCCGTACCACGCAAAGGCTGATCTGGCCGGGGTGGTCCATGCCTTGGTCACCTCTAGATTGGACTACTATAATGTGCTCTACGTGGGGCTGCCCTTGAAAACAGCTCGAAAATTTCAACTGGTCCAACGGGCAGTGGGCAGGATGTTAACTGGGGATCCTTACAGAGAGAGGTCAACCCTTCTGTTCAAGGAACTTCACTGGCTGCCGTTTATTTTCTGAGCCCAATTTAAGGTGCAGGTGTTTACCTACAAAGCCCTAAACGGTTTGGGACCATCCTACCTGCGTGACCGAAGCTCCATGTATGAACCCATGCACTCACTTCGTTCATCCGGAGAGGCCCTGCTTGCGATTCCGCCTGCGTTGCAGGCGCGTCTGGTGGGGATGCAAGACAGGGCCTTTTCTGTGGTGCCCCCCTGACTCTGGAACACCCTCCCCAAAGATCTTAGACAGGCCCCTACATTGGCAGTCTTTAGAAAGAACTTGAAGACCTGGCTGTTACGATGTGCCTTTCCAGAATAGGAAACCTCCATTACCAAGTCCCACAAGCACTTTATTAGAAATTAAGATTGCTGGCACACTGCACTTAACCCCATAATCCTTACATACCACCTGTCACGTCAGCACTTTTAATCTGTACCCATTATTCTGGCCCGGCCTAGTTTTATTGTGTCCTGGAGTATTGTTTTATTGCTTGCTGTTTAATATTGCTTTAACTGTTTTTAATTTCCTTTAGGTTGTGTATTGTTATGTTGTGTTTTGAGGCCTTGGCATCTTCTCCCACAGTGAAAGCATTGGTTTCCATGTGGAAGGAGGTCCTGGTCGGGGTTGGCTTGACGCGCCTTCCTCCTGGCACATTTCTCTCTTTCACCCTCCACTTGTGCCTCCTCGAATTCTGCAGCACTGCTGGTCACAGCTGACCTCCAGCTGGAGCGCTCAAGGGCCAGGGCTTCCCAGTTCTCAGTGTCTATGCCAGAGATTTTAAGGTTGGCTTTGAGGCCATCTTTAAATCTCTTTTCCTGTCCACCAATGTTCTGTTTTCCGTTCTTAAGTTCAGAGTAGAACAACTGCTTTGGGAGACAGTGGTCAGACATCCGAACAACGTGGCTGGCCCAACAGAGTTGATAGCAGAGGACCATTGCTTCAATGCTAGTGGTCTTTGTTTCTTCCAGCATGCTGATGTTTGTCCGCTTGTCTTCCCAAGAGATTTGCAGGATTTTCCGGAGGCAGCGCTGATG